AGATTGCTGGTGCAGAGGTGGCACATGACAATCTGGCACTCCCACAAGGTGACACACAGAGGTTCGTTCTTCCAGCACCAGGCCTCCGACACAGGCCAACAGGACCGCAGCAAGCGACACAACAGCAATTTGTAGACAACACGGGGAAGCAGCTACTTCAGAACTATGGTGGCAACGGTGGGATTAATACCGGACCTTCTGGCAATGGTGAACAGATGGGAGAATCCTTCCCGTTTTATTTCGTTTTCGTTTTCTCTTTTATTTATTGTCATATTAGATAAAAATAATCTTAAAAACTAAATTAAATTCTCTTTGTTTATTTAGATATGTATTTGATTATTTATCCACTTTTTAATCCATTACTAACCTCTTCTCCCATTCCTAGGCATAGTAGGCAACCTACTTCCCCTGGACCCTGGCACAGCTATGCCCCAGGTGTTGGCATTAGACGTGGCATGCCAGAGGGACCAGATGAGGGTCAGGATAACTTTCGACTCTCCTTTCAATGGTGTCGTGTACTCGAAGGTATGTCAGAGGGTTTTGTGACCCACCGAAAAAAAAATCTAACGCATTTACTACCAAGATACGAGTTTGCTTTCTACCCGGCACCTCCAACTGTAGAATCAATCTCACTTTCAGATGCCGTTATCCGTGTACCTATGAATAAATAATGATAATAATAAACCTATTTCATCCGCATGGCAACGTTAACTCTATTTCCCCTTCTCCCTCAACACCCAGGGTTACTATGGCAACCCGCAGTGCAGTTACGTGGCACCAGGATCGAGCAGGAGCGAGTACGAGTTTGTGGTGGTGTCGGGCACGTGCGGCACTCGCTACGTGGAGAACCCGGGCACGCCGTCGTACCTCGAGAACACGGTCGTCATCCAGAACGAGCCGGGCATCCAGGAGGTGAGGACGACGCCCTCTGACCGGGGCCTGTCGGGCGTGCGAGGGGATGTGGGCACTGGCGGCCCGCTCCTTCTCCTTCCGACGTTGTTTCTCTGCCTTCATTCCTGTGTGTGTGTTTGCATGCACTGGATGTACAGTATATATTTGAATGGGTATATGTCCTAAATTTTTGCTTTTCATTCTTCTGCGTCCGCCCTTTCTCCCCATGACCGCCCCTTCGCCGCAGGTGTGGGACACCGCCCGTGGCGTGCGCTGCGTCTTCGAGGGCGCGGGCGGCGACTCGACGCAGCGGGTGAGCGCGGCGCTGAGCGTGGCTATGCTGGACCAGCAGGTCGTGTCCTTCGCCGCCGACTCGCAGGCGTCCGCTTCGCTCGACATCCAGGTCAGTCGCCGACTCGCACGGTGCCAGACGCGCGAGAATGATCACAGACGGACGCTTTTCTTTTACTGATAACCAAGAGGAGGCAACTGATAATACGTTGAAATTTGATAATGTTGAATAATGTTGACGGGTTATAAGCAGTCTTCAAGTAATCAGCGGTGTCCACTAAACACCGCTGATCCAGGAACTGTGATACTAATCCACCAATCAAGAGCCGAATGACAGACTGTCTCCCCTCGGTCGGCAGATCGGGCGCGGCCCCTTCGCCCCGTCGGCGTCGGGCATGGTCAAGATCGGGGAGCTGATGACGATGGTGGTGGCCGTGGAGGGCCCCGCCAGCGCCGACGTCCTCGTCAGGCAGTGCGTCGCGCACGACGGGTCCAGGCAGAACCCGTACCAACTCACGGACGAGGTGAGGAGGGGGGAAGGGTCACGGGTCCAGGCAGAACCGTACCAACTCACGGACGAGGTGAGAGGGGGGGAAGGGGTCCGGGTCAGGCAGAACCCGTACCAACTCAGGACGAGGTGAGGAGGGGAAGGGAGGAAGGGGTCGCGGGTCCGGCAGAACCGTACCAACTCACGGACGAGGTGAGGAGGGGAAGGGAGGAAGGGTCGCGGGTCCAGGCAAGAACCCGTACCAACTCACGGACGAGGTGAGGAGGGGGAAGGGAGGAAGGGGTAGGGTCCAGGCAGAACCCGTACCAACTCACGGACGAGTGAGGAGGGGGAAGGGGGAAGGGGTCGCGGTCCAGGAAGAACCTTCTCAGCTCACGGACGTTAGGACAAGGGGAAGGAGGAGTTGGAGGGGGGGAAAGGGGAGGGGGGAGAAGGACGGTAGGTGTAAGGGATGGAAGGGAGGAAGGGGGACGGCTGGGGTTAGGGTATAGGGGAAGGGGAGGTTAGGGTGTTGAGGGGAAGCGGAGGGAAGGCCAGGGTGGGGTTAGGGCGTGAGGGGAAGCGGGAGAGAGAGGGTTGGGGAAGTGGGAGCGAGGGTAGAGTGTAGGAGGGTGGATGGGGTTGGCAGGGAGGGGAACGGGAGGAAGGGGTGGGTTGGGTCGTGAGGGGAAGGGCGGGTTCCATGTAAGGGGAAATGGCATAGGATGTGAGAAGAATGGATACGAGGAGAAAGGATGTGATAGGGAAGAGGAGGCTATGTAAAATGCGCTGTGAGGAGGCCTTGTGGAGGAAGTTAGGATGGGGGAGGAAGAGGCTCAGTAGGAAGGAGGAAGGGAGTTGGGAAGGAACATTCAGGGATATAGGAAACGAAGAGGGGAGCGTAGGGAGACGACAGAACGGAGAGAGGAAAAGGAAGAAGGAAGGAGGAGAGGAGAGCAGGATGGGGGAGCTAGGGAAAGGAGGGAATGGGAAGAGAGGGAGACCTAAAAAAGAGGTACCTGGGAGAAAAAGGGAAGGAGGGAAGAGGGTAGATAGGGCAGGTGAGTGGAAATATTGGAAAGAGAGAGAGAGTCGGGTAGAGATAGACCAACAGAAAGAGAGGAGGGGGGGGGGGAAAAAGGAGAGAGGAGGAAGGAGAAGGAGGGGGGGGGAGTGAGGGAAAGAGGGCTCACAAAATATCAGTCTGATGCCCTTTTTCGCTCCAGAACGGCTGTGTCCTCGGCTCCAAGAAGAAGATTTTGGGTTCGTGGCAAAAATCCCGTGACACTGGCAACCCCAAGATCCCTGTGGTCACGTTCTCTCACTTCCAGGTAATATTTGACATTCTTTACTAATCGAGATAGATGAATTAATCAATAAAAGGATATACGGTTTATACAGATAATTAAATCACGATGCCCCTAAATGATGAAGTTAGCCCTAAAATGGTTTTCTTTTTTTTAATTTTAGGGATAACTATATTAATTTTCTTATCTTTCCAGGCCTTCAAATTCCCAGACAAGAACGACGTGTATATTGAGTGCCAAGTCGACCTCTGCAGTAACGGATGCCCCATCTGCCCTGAGGACGGCGTAAGTTCTTGTCTAAATGTCTATTTTTTAAATATTTTCTTGGGTGATTAAGATAATTGTTTAAGTTTAGGTTTAAGGTTTAAGGCTTTCCTAGTTTCGGAGACCCGCCCAAAATTGGTGCTATATATCACTCATCCAGATTCATATGAAAGAGACCCATGATTTTAACAATAAAAGGCGGCAGCAACGGCATTTGCAAAGAAATGCCAGTAACAGTAATGGTAGCCATGAGAATTCTAGTTGCTATACGACCCCACAATGATGCATCTTCTCCCCTCCCCCCCTCCCCCCCTCCCCCCTCTCATCCCCTCCCCTCCTCACCCCCTCTGCCCTCCCCCTCTCCCCTCTCCTCCTCACCCCTCTGCCCTCCCCTCCTCACCCCCCTCTGCCCTCCCCCTGCCCTCTGCCCTCCTTCTCACACCCCTCTGCCCTCCCCCTCTCACCCCTCTGCCCTCCCCTTCCCCCTCCCCTCTGCCCTCCCTCCTCACCCCTCTGCCCCCCCTCCTCCCCTCTGCCCTCTCCCTCCTCACCCCTCTGCCCTTCCCCCTCCTCACCCCTCTGCCTCTCCCTCTACCTCTGCCCTCCCCTCTCACCCCTCTGCCCTCCCCTCCTCACCCCCTCTGCCTCCCTCCTCACCCCCTCATGCCCTCCCCTCCTCACCCCCTCTGCCCTCCCCTCCTTCACCCCCTCTGCCTCTCCCCCTCTCACCTCCTCCCTCCTCACCCCCCCTCTCCCTCCTCACCCCTCTGCCCTCCTCACCCCTCTGCCCTCCCTCCTCACCCCCTCTGCCTCCCCTCCTCACCCCTGCTCCTCTCCCTCCTCACCCCCTCTGCCTCCCCTCCTCACCCCTCCTGCCCCTCCTACCCTCTGCCCTCCCCCCCTCACCCTCCTGCCTTCCCCCTCCTCACCCCCTCTGCCTCTCCTCCTCACCCCCCCTCCTCACCCCCTCTGCCCTCTCCCTCCTCACCCTCCTCACGCCCTCCCTCCCCCTGCCCCTCCCTCACCCCCTCTGCCCTCCCTCTCACCCCCTCTGCCCTCCCCTCTCACACCCCTCTCCTCCCCTCCTCACCCCTCTGCCCTCCCTCCTCACCCCTCTCCTCCTCACCCTCTCCTCTCCTCCTCTCTGCCCTCTCCCTCCTCACCCCTCTGCCTCTGCCTCTGCCTCCCCTCCTCACCCCCTCTGCCCTCTCCCTCCCCCTCTGCTCTGCCCTCCCTCCCCTCTGCCCCTGCCCTCTCCTCCTCACCCCTCTGCCCTCCCCCTCACCCCCTCTGCCTCTGCCCCTCCTCCCCTCTGGCCTCCCCCTCCCTCACCCTCTGCCTCCCTCCTCACCCCCTCTGCCCATCCCCTCTGTGCCCTCCCTCCTCACCCTCTGCCCTCCCCTCCTCACCCTCTCCTGCCCCTTCCCTCCTCACCCCCTCTGCCCTCTCCCCCCCCTCAGTCCCGCGGGCGTCGTCGGCGAGCGGTGCCCGCCGCGCGCCCGGAGCCGCCTCCTCCAGGCACGCTGGGCGAGGCCGCCGAGCGCGTGGAGGCGCAGCTGTTCCGCGAGCGCGGCGCGAAGGGCGGCGCGCGGGCGGTGGCGAACGGCCTGGCGAAGAACGAGAGCGCGGGCGCGCCGGTGCGCGTGGCGCGGCGCCTGCGGGTGCTCTCGCCCGAGGACATCTCCGTGGGGCGGCGACGAGTTCTCGACCGTCACCCTCGTCACCAGTGAGTGCCTTGGTCCGCCTCGTCGGCCGCCCTCTTCCTCTTATGATTATATTCCTTACAGCTTCCTATCATTATTACCTTCTCCTTTATTATGATTTATTCCTCCCTGCTTCCTGTCGTTGTGTTTTATTTCTGCTTCAAATTACCATTTCAAATATCGTGTTATAGTGACAAAAAGCTTCATTTCCATTTGTTATTCTCCTTGACCACATTTTGCTTCGGTCCTTTTTCTCGCCTTTGTCTTCGTCTTCGCCCGTGCGAGGCTGTGACCCTGACGAAGGCGACGGAGGACAGCCCGCGCCATGCCCCTTCCCCTGTGTCCCTTCCCTCACGCCCTTCCCTCCCGCAGAGAGCGCCGGCGCCGCCCCCGAGGACGTGTGCATGAGCGTGGCGACCTTCGTGGGCGGCCTCGTGGTCATGCTGGCGGTGCTGGTCCTGTCGTCGGTGGTGACGGCGGTGCTGTGCCTGCGCGTGCGCACCATCCCGTCGGCGGCGTCCACGTACCCGCCCGACTCCTCCTTCCACGCCTTCAGCACCGTCTCCGGCAAGACGTTGTGAGCCACGGGGCGGGGGGGGGGGGTAGAATTGTCTTTTATAGGGATGCCGCTGTGTGATATGATATATATATATATATATATATATATATATATATATATATATGTATGTATGTATGTATGCTTGTATGCATATCCATGTATACTGAATCTTATTTTTTCTTATCGATTGGTCATTCACTTATATATGCATATGTGTGTGTGTGTGTGTGTGTGTGTGCATATATATATATATATATATATATATATATATATATATATATAATATATATATATATATATATAGAGAGAGAGAGAGAGAGAGAGAGAGAGAGAGAGAGAGAGAGAGAGAGAGAGAATTTCTGCGTTGTCTCGTGCAATATCATATAGTATTACGCTGTTCTGTTTCTAAAGACCGTTTTTCCATTGGACATTGTCTGTTTCCCTTAGACCATTCAAAAGGACATATTGCTCCTGAAAATGGCAAGGGAAGAGTGTAATTTCCTCTCTCGTCAACCATAATGAAGTCAGGCGAGATTTTCCTTAGATTTTATTTGGAGTAAAAGTTCCTCGTGCTTATGAATTCCTGTTTTGTCTTCTTATATATTTAATGCTTTTCTGCTTCCTGTTTTTTGCTGTCTTTTCACAAAGCCGCATTCTGTTGTTCCACGTGTAAAAAAGATGTATATTTTTATACGAAATGCCGTAGAAAAAAATATTTTTCAATAATGTAGATGTATTTACTTTATAACTCATTTCTTCGTTTTTCATTTGATTTTGATTCATCTTTTGATTCGTATTTGCAATTGTGAAATACGTAAACAGTGCCTTTGTTTGTAAATAACTGTATCCAGTCACTGAGGGGAAACCGTGCCGCACTCGAGAGTCCTCTGGCGGGGACGGGGCGAACTACCAGCGGCGGTGCCTCGGTTTTTGTATTTGCTCATGAAGAGAGAGAGGGAAAGAACAGAAGAAAGAGAGATATAAGAGAAAGAGAATAAGAACAGGAGAACAAAAGAGAATGCGTGAAAAAAAGTGAAAATGATAAGAAGGCGAAGAAGGAGAGAGGAGATGTGGACACAATCATTTCGTTGTTTTGTGCACTTGTTATTTTTATACGTGTTTGTATACGCTTCCTGCTGGCAGGTTTTGTGTATGGAGTAGAAATAAGAAATAAAAATGACAAAAAAACACCAATATTGTCTCATAACCTTTGTAGAAACCATAGTGGATCAGTCAAAAATAAAGATGTGCAAATTTGGTCTCTATTTACAGACGTTCTAAGAACCATATTTACTTATTAAGAGCAAATTCATGAAGAAAAGACGTGACTTGCACAAGCTCCACCAAAACGTTTCTGAAAGTATTTGTCCTTTTGTGTAGAGTCAAGGGAACTAATGATACCCAGAGATTGGTTTTAGTGCCTGATCTAATTACCAATAATTTGACATCAATTATTTCCACCTCGCAGCACGTGGCCAAAGCAAAGCGACCAAAACAAAATACAACAATTATGATATTAGTACAATTAAATCCTAATGGTCATGGCAATCCTGAAAATCACTAACAATACTAATTATAACAACAATAATAATTATAACGATCATATTTAACGATAAGGATAACAATGATAAAGATATTGTTAATAATGATAATATACAATAGTAATAATAATGATAACAACAATAACAATAATAATAAAAATAATAGTGATAATGATAATGGAGATATCAATAATAATAAGGATAATAACATAATGATAAGGATAATGATGCTAATAATGACAGTAATTATAATAATAGTGATAATAATAATAATATCAATGATAATGGTTATAGTATTAGTAGTAATAACAACTGGTGAAATCCTGATGACGTCATTCTCACCGAGCCACTCAACGCTCCTCCTCCTGCCTGAACGTCTGACCTCGCCTCCGCTCGCATCTCCCAACTCCTCCTTCACTCCTCCTTGACCCCGCCCTGACCTCGCCTCCGCTCGCATCTCCATGACCTGGTACTCGGGGTGCCTGGACGCCCTGACCACCATGACCTTGTCCCCGACCTTGAGAGCGCCGCCCTGCTCGGTGCCGCACTGGAGCCCGAACACCGGCTTCTGCGCCCAGGCCTTGGCGAGGCGCGGGGGTCCGCGGGGGCAGCGGTACCTGCGGGGAAGAAGGGCGTGAGAAAGAGGAAGGGCGTGAGAAAGAAAGGGAAGAAAAAGGGCGTGAGAAAGAGGAAGGGCGTGAGAAAGAGGAAGGGCGTGAGAAAGAGGAAGGGCGTGAGAAAGACGAAGGGCGTGAGAGAGAAGAAGGACGGCCCCAGGAGAGGCAAATTCTCCAGCGACGTCGAGACAGCCTCCGTCGGGAAATACGAATGAAGTCCTGACCTCCTCTCCCGCTTCCCGCTGAAGAGACGAGTCTGCTTCGAAGTCAGTGAACATTGCTGCAGCAGTAAATGATCTGTTGAATATTACCTTGGCCACCAGTGCGGACCGAATACTGAATCGCCTAATATCTAAGCCAATGGATGCTGCAACCACACGCATTCTACAACTACACAGTGTCCCACAGCAAGAACACAAGGCCTTGAGTATCTTATCAGCTGATAGTGAGAAGCCATCTGCTGGTTTCCTACACAGGGAATTCCTCCATAGACAATCGGATTACAGGCTATAGGGAGATTTCCAACGCGTTTCAATCGTGTCTCTGAACTACTCGAAACCCTATCGCCATTTCACGTCCCTCTTCCTGTTTCTTCTTCTGGCTCTTGTCATCTCTCCCCTTTCTGTCCTTCTCCTTCCTTATTCTGACTAGTTGCATTTCAATTGCATCTATTTTCCCTCTCTCTTTTGCTTTGACTATGTTCTGAATATTTTCGTCCTTTCTCTTTCCCGTCTCCTCTTCTTCCTCTCTTTTCCCAGGTTCTTCCCTTCCTCCTGTGGTCCCAAGGCATCCCCCCGCCCTCTCTTCCCTTCCTTTGGTCATTTTCTTTATTTCCTCTCTCCCTCTCATTCTCTTTCCTTTGTTATTCATCTTTCTCTCAATTCTATCCTTTCTCTTCTATATTTCTTTCTCTTACTTTCTTTCCTTCTTTCCCCGTTTCCCTACTTTCCCTGCTTTCTCTTCTTTCTTTCTAATTTCAGTTTTACCTATTCCCCTCTTCTGCTTACACGTTACTTCTTTCTCGTTTCTTCTTCCTCTCCTCTCCTCTCTGCCTTTGCTCTTCCTCTCTTTCTCATATTGCCTACTTTCCCTTCCTCTCTCCGTCTCAAATCTCATTTTCTCTTCCTTTTTTCGTATTTTCATTTCTTAATTTCTCTATCTCTCCCCTTCTTATTTATTATTTTCACTTCCCCTTCTTTCGCTTATTTCCTACCCCCCCCCCTGTCCCTCTTATTTCCTGTTTGCTCTTCTCCTCCTATTCTTGTTTCTTATTTTCTCTCTCTTACCTCCTATTGGTCTTCCCTCTCCTTTCCCTCTTCTTTCACATCTTCTCCTCTTCCTTTTAGTCCCCCTTCTCTCCCTTTCCCCTTCCCACCCCGTCTCCCCTTCTTTCCCCTTCCTCTCTTCTCTCCCTCCCTCTTCCATCCCCTAACCCTTCAATCCCTTCTCTCTCTTTCTCTCCCTTCTCCCCCTCCCCTCCCATCCCCGCCCCTTCCTCCCTCCATCCCCGCCCCTTCCTCCCCCTCCCATCCCCCCCCCCTTCCTCCCCCCCATCCCCCCGCCCTCCTCCCTCCCATCCCCCGCCCCTTCCTCCCCCTCCCATCCCTTCTCCCCCTCCCATCCCCCGCCCTTCCTCCCCCCCATCCCCCCGCCCCCTTCCTCCCCTTCCTCCCCTCCATCCCCCGCCCCCTTCCTCCCCCTCCCATCCCCCGCCCCCCCATCCCCTCCTCCCCCCGCCCCTTCCTCCCCCTCCCATCCCCGCCCCTTCCTCCCCTCCCATCCCCCCGCCCTTCCTTCCCTCCCCTCCCCTCCCATCCCCCGCCCTCCTTCCCCCCGCCCCTCTCCCCTCCCATCCCCGCCCCCCTTTCCCTTCCCTTCTCCCATCCCCCGCCCCCTTCCTCCCCTCCCCCATCCCCCCGCCCCCTTCTCCCTCCATCCCCGCCCCCTTCCCTCCCCCTCCATCCCCCCCCCCCCGCCCCTTCCTCCCCTCCCATCCCCGCCCTTCCTCCCTCCCATCCCCCGCCCCCTTCCTCCCCCTCCCATCCCCGCCCCTTCTCCCCCTCCATCCCCCCGCCCCCCTCCCCCTCCCCATCCCCCGCCCCTTCCTCCCCCCCCATCCCCCGCCCCCCCTCCCCTCCATCCCCCGCCCCTTCCTCCCCTCCCATCCCCGCCCCCCCCTCCCATCCCCCTTCCTCCCCCTCCCATCCCCCGCCCCCTTCCTCCCCCTCCCATCCCCCGCCCCCTTCCTCCCCTCCCATCCCCCCGCCCCCTTCCTCCCCTCCCATCCCCCGCCCCCTTCCCCTCCCCCTCCCATCCCCCCCGCCCCCTTCCTCCCCTTCCATCCCCCCCCTTCTCCCCTCCATCCCCCGCCCCCTTCCTCCCCCTCCATCCCCCCGCATCCCCTTCTCCCCCCATCCCCCGCCCCCTTCCTCCCCCTCCACCATCCCCCCGCCCCCCCCCCATCCCCCCATCCCCCGCCCCCTTCCTCCCCTCCATCCCCCCGCCCCTTCCTCCCCTCCCATCCCCTTCCTCCCCTCCATCCCCCCGCCCCCTTCCTCCCCCTCCCATCCCCGCCCCCTTCCTTCCTTCCCCCTCCCTCCCTCCCATCTCCCCCTCCCATCCCCCGCCCCCTTCCTCCCCCCCCCCCCGCCCCCTTCCCTCCCCCGCCCCCTTCTCCCCCTCCCATCCCCCCGCCCCCCCCCCCATCCCCCGCCCCCTTCCTCCCCTCCCATCCCCCCCGCCCCCCCCCCTTCCCCCCTCCCACTTCCCCCCTCCCATCCCCGCCCCCCCCATCCTCCCCTCCCATCCCCCCGCCCCCTTCCCCCTTCCTCCCCCTCCATCCCCGCCCTTCCTTCCCCTCACATCCCCCGCCCCCTTCCTCCCTCCCATCCCCCGCCCCCTTCCTCCCCCTCCCATCCCCCCGCCCCCCTCCCCTCCCATCCCCGCCCCCTTCTCCCCCTCCCATCCCCCGCCCCCTTCCTCCCCCTCCCATCCCCCGCCCCCCTTCCCCCGCCTCCCATCCCCCGCCCCCTTCCTCCCCCTTCCCCCGCCTCTCTTCTCTCCCCCTCCCATCCCCGCCGCCTTCCTCTTCAATCCCTTCTCTCCTTCTCCCCCTCCCATCCCCCCCCCCTTCCCCCCTTCTTCCCCCTCCCATCCCCCGCCCCCTTCAACATCCCCGCCATCCCCTCCCCCTTCCTTCCCCCAGCACTTACGTCTTGAGCGTGGTCAGCGGCTCCTGCTGCGGGTGCCTCTCTCCGGTGGCGGGGTTCACGATGGTCAGCACGCACCTGGCGGAGGACTTCGTGAAAACCATCGTGCATTTGATGCCATGTTATGCCGCATTGCAATATGCGATATGATATCAGGATCTGTTTTGTTTTGAATATGATCAGTATTACAAGGGAATTAGCTCGGAGGATTTGTGTGCGACGGCATCTGCATGAAACCATATCCCCGGACCATAAGGAATCTTAACTATATCATATCTTTGTCAGCAAACATATGAATATTGTATCACCTTCATCTATTTTTTGTCACGTCAGTTTGATGTTTAGCAAAGGCACGCACGCATGCACACGTACACGTACACTCAGACAGGTCGAAAATGACTGCCTCTTCCGAACTCTATTCTGCACTGCATTTTCTCTATTAAGGGATAGACAGATTGCAGTCGACCTTCCACTCGCTTTCCATGCCACTCAGAAATAGTCCTTCATACAATCCATCACTTTTTGTGAAGGTTTTCTGGTAAACCCAACCCATAGGAAGTCGTCCTCGTGTTCCTTCTCTTTCTCCCCCTTCCCTTTCCAAGTCCTCTCCCCCTCACCTCTCGCAGGGCTTGACCCTCCTGAGGACGACGTCGCCGATCTTGAGGAAGGCCCAGTCGTCCTCGTCGAAGGGCCTGGCGCCGCGGACCACGACGTTGGGCCGGAACCACCCCATGGACACGGGCTCCTTCAGCCGGCCGTTCAGGTCCTTCATCGACGACTCCGACGCCACCATGAACGAGCTCGTGTCGGCGTATAAGACCTGGAAGAAGAGGAAGAGAATGAGGAAAAGAGGAAAGGGTAAGGGCGAAGACGACGGAGGGAGAGGACAGAAGATTTTGCCGGACGAGATGCGGCCGAAGGAAGGCGGGAAGACAACGACCGAAGCAGAAAAGACAAGCCATAGAACCGCTCCAGCAGGTGGCTGTTTGGGCCATCCAGCGATGGGGGAGGAAAGGAGTGGGCAGCAGAGCCCCCGCAGAAGGAACTGCCTTGTGTATGAGCTTGGACTCTGCAGCCAGTTTGCGAGCTCGGAACATCCTATCTTTATGGCAGGACTATTACCCCAGCCATCGAGGGAACTGAGGCAGTTGGGAGTCAAGGTGGCTGCTCTCTCGGAGGTGAGACGCTCTGGCAGCAGCATGGTTACGGTTGGGTTGGGGCAATGTGTCACCATCTGACCAACCTTCAGTTGGCGAGTGTATGATGGCATGAAACTAAAGCATGATTTTGGCTTTGTGTCCCTTATTGCTGTTTTCTGATGTTTGCACACATCTTTGGTGAGACATTTGGATTGCATTAGGTGACTTCAACACGATATCTGGTTGTGATCTAGCTGGCTATGAGATCTCTGCCCGGGAGCTGATCCTTCTCTCTGAGACTTTGCTAGATCCCAGAAATTGGGTATTTCTGGCTCCTCGCATCAGTGCTCCAGCATTGCTGAACATAGCATAGTGATATGGGTATTGTGGGAATGACTACACCCTCACTAGAGGAGCCTCCAGTGCTGCAAGGTTCACCAGAGTGCCGATTTCTGCGGTACCAATTATGACTACCCTTCAGATCCACTTCAAAACGCTCCATCTCTCCAGCGTCCACCCCAGAGTACTTTACCTGGACAGACCAAGGGAGAAGGAATGCTCAGAGGTTCGCTTCAACTATCTCTTGTTGATTCACAGCACTCAAATCCTGATGCGCCCTGAAGTTCTGTGGGATTCCTTCGTGTGAAACGCTTGATGCAGGGCTCGAGTCCGCAGGTGAATGCCTGAACTCCAAGTAGAAATTTTCTTGCCAGAGACACTGGAGGCCACAGGTGCGTGTCCTGTGGTACGACTAAATGGCGATCAGAATTTCTGCTATTCTTTGGTGCGGATGCTTGGACTTTAATCGGGAATCTTGCTGAATAAACTGAAAACCATTTCTTAGTAAATAACCTTCGTCTTGCCTAACAAGCCTGAAAAAACTCACAGATGGTTGTAATCTATTCAGCGGATGGACGGATCATCTAAAATCAAGTTAAATGCTGGTGGTGCGTCTATATCATGGGGCTTGCATGCTGTCTGGCTGCCATCTGGCAGTCCGGTACCATTCCCCGGATCTGCTGAGGGGCGTGGTCTGGAAGGGAAGGAGATCCAATGGGACTGCAGCAACTACTCTGGCATCACATTGCTCAACATACCAGGTAAGGTTTTCGCTCACATTCTTCTGAGATGGATCTGTGACCACATACTAAGGCACCAGAGACCGGAGCAAGATGAATTCACTCCTAGCAAGTAAAAACAATGGACTGCATGCTAGCACTTGGAGTCATTATAGAGTACTATCATGAGTTTGGTCATGGGTTGTTTGTAGTCTACATCGACCTCAAGAAGGTGTATGACCCAATACATCGCAAATCAATATTGGAGATCCTAAGACAGGATTATTGGCTTAATAGCAAGCCTATATACCGGTACTAAGTGCTGTAGAGCTTTTATTAAGCTTCTTCCCCGTTAATTCAAGAGTGAGAAAAGGCTGTATTCTTTTCAACACTTGCAAGGACTGGATAATGGTCAGAGATACTATCCAAGGTCATTGTAGAATAACACAAGGCAATATCAAGGTCACTGACCTTGCCTCCGCTGACGATGTTGCTCTCCTGTTTCTAGAGATGCTAGTGGCAGCTCTTGATGCAAAGCATGAGGCAAACCCTTGAGTTTAGAGATCTGGATCAGAAACAAGATCCATGGTTTGGGGGTCTGTTAGGAGACCTGGTCAGTCGATGAATGTTTGTGGCAAGGATGCCTTTTGTCCTGCCAACTGAGGCTCAGCTGGCAGGACCATGTGTCCACCAACGGCTACACCGTGAGGCCAGCGTAGGACCTGTTACTTGCATAATCCGGGACTGCTAACTCAGGTCATACAGGCACCTAGCTCGTTTCCCTGTGGAAGACCCTGCTCATCAGGGGCAGGGTCTTCCTGAGACGACCTAGGAAGTCGTGGCTTGGCGTAGACCAGCCGTGAGGAGCTAGAGACGGGTCGAGGCCCTGCCTAGCAGCTCGCCATAAGGGACCTTTGTGGCTGGAATGAAAGTGCAGATACGGCTATGCGCCACCTCCACTTTCCACTGGCCTGGGGAATGCTCCTGCAAGCGTTGTAATGCACCAGACAACACATTACTGCAATGCCACCGAACTGAAGTTTCCTCAGATGGGCCGCGGAGCCCCTGAAAGCGGGCGAGCGAGGCGGCAGTCTGTCGCCGCCACGGGAAGCTCGCCCTCGAAAAGCTCACTAAACGGAAGTGAACTGAAGAAAGAGAGAGAGAGAGAAGGAAAAAAACGTAATAAGCAGAAGTCGTATATACACAGAAACAATATAAATACCTAGAAAAAAAACAATACAAATAAGCCAGTAATACGATAAGCCTACAGCAAATAGATGCGTAACATACACCCCTCCCCCCGCCCGCCGCTGCCTCCCTCACCCTGTCCGACGCCCTGAACTGCGGGAACTCGAAGTAGTCCGGCTTCCTGGCGGGCCGGTCCTTCACCAGCCCGCCCTGGTACAGGAGTCGAACGCGCGTCTCGCCCTTGTAGAGCAGCCGCGAGAGCCAGTCCGCCACCGCGTCGCCGCAGTCTGCCCCGCACGTCCTCTGGTTCCATATCCTGTGGGGGGGATGGGGGGGATGTGTCATGTGGGGGATTCAAGAGTCTTCGAGGAAGATGCTTGGCAATACTTCCCAAGCATCTCCTTTTTCTTTCGCGTTTGTACGTCTATGTTATTGCGGTCGTTCTAGGGCTGGGCAGGACTTGCTGTTTTACCCAAGCAGTGCAAAATGAATAACGAAGCAATTTAATTTTTTTCAAAAATATTTTCAATCTTATTTCGTTTCTTTGGTGGCTGACTGATTCACGAGCCATCGAGGGAACTTCCAGACGGACTGACCTGACTTGGTTGACCTTCACGTCCCCCATGACCTCCTGGAGATCGAAGGAGACCTCGCCCGCGCCGTCGGCTCTAAGGGTCACCCTCTGACCCTCGACCTCGAAGACCACCGTGGCGAGGCGGCCCACCTGGCGGCACGTGATGAAGGTG